TCAATTCTGCCATGGGACAGACGGACGGCGCCAGCGGACCAGACCGGACAAAGTGCGTCTTGGACTGGCAGCCATTCGAGCGACGCCACGGGGGACAGAGCGGGTGCGTGTGCATTTTCTTGTCTGAGAGTCAACGGAGGAAACGCTGACGTGATGACTGCAAGGGTTCCGTTGTCTTTTAGCTCCACGTGGCAGCCCAAGAGCGAGCTCGTTGTTCTGGTCTGCCATTGGTCAACAGCCTCAATGCAGGAGTGGAATCTCGCTCGTAATCTACGAGGCCGAGTCGAGCATGATCCTGAGGAGCGTTGTAAGTTCGAGAAGGGCGCGTCGGTCAGAGGCAGCACGAACAGAAAAGAGAGATAGAGCAAGAGAATGCGGATCGCCTGGAGATGGCGCAAGATGTGCTGACTGTTGCCTGTATCTCCCAAATTGCCATCCATCGAGACTGTCGGGCGAGTTTGGGCCAAGAAAAAAAAAAGTTGAAGGGAAAAAAGGGGCGCCGAGACGACGAAGAGACAACATCAGAGACAGAAGGAGGCGTCTTTGCCTATACTCCCCGTAGCGCTGCAGACGGAGCATTCAAGTGGCGGCTACGATTGGCTACGGGGATGCAATGTGCCTTGTTCCTGCATATCGGGCTGCAGCAGGCGGTCCAGAAGGGGTGGGGCAGGAAGATACTTCTGCTACAGTACTTGCTAGTGGGTATAAGTCTCTGTAGAGGTACTGAAGTACCTGGGTACTTGCTGTCAGTGCCATGATTCGTGCTGCTGCCTACTTGCTCTATTTTGTAGAACAATCAAAACCTACTTTCTTTGCTGTTTTACTTCCTTTGCCTCTCTATGTTTAGCTACCCAAGGTCTCTTCTTTGTTTTCATTGTGTGGACTTCTTTTTACCACAACTCCTCGGTGATGTCCCGTTGGCTTCGCCCTCCATGGCCCCAATTGTGTCGATCCGATCTGCTGCCCTCCGAGCCAAACTAGCCTAGACAATCTGAGGCTTTCCCTAGCCTTCCGAAGCGGGGCTGCTTTTTACACCTGCGCGGGCCACCAGCCGGCGGGGCCATAACCCGTAGGTAAGAAGTCTGGTCAGTGCGAATCTCGGTGGAAGAATCTGATGAATTGCCAAGCCGAGTGCGGTCGACATGAAAGAGACGAGTGTGTTATTTCGAGAAATGCTTTCTTTGTGTGCGGTCAACGAATGGGATTCGAATTACAAGGTCGCCAGGTACTGGCAGGGAGGGGGATCGTTCTGGCCCCGCTGTTCGTCCCGTCCGTGCCTCAGAAGCCAAGTGCCTAGGTATCAAGCCAGCAGAAAGCTACTTGGGTACTTCTGTACACTGATCTGCGCCTCTGCAGCTTGCAAGCGAGCCCCACTGCGCATCCATGGATGGCACAATGTCGTTTTCAGTCTTCAGGCCAGTCCAGTGCCGATAATCCGCGAGCAATGGAGATTCTTCACGCTTCAATACAAACGGCATGGTAAAAGGAGAGCAGGCCTCGTGGAGTGCTCGAGTGCGAGTGGTGCAGTAACACGTTGGAAACACAGCAAGTAGTTGCCGCACTAGGTGGCACCCAGATTCACAACACGGTCATTACAGTAAATGCTGTGTGCCAAGCACTTGGCTGGTCAGCAAATCAGCAGGTCTGGCGGGCCCGGGACAGTGATATACAGCAATACGACCACCGTACGAGAGCAGCTGCTTAGCGTATCAGAGCAGTGCTACGATAAGTCTGGGTGGCTAGTAGATGGGGCGGCCGGCCATCCACCCCTGACCCCGGCTGTTACCCCTGACACCATCAGGGCCCATCCCAGCTTGCCGACCTTCCTTCCCGCCCGCACCTGGGCCGCGCAACCTGCCAGACAGCAAGAGCGAAGCAGGGCAAGCAAACCCACCACGATGGTCAACCAACTCGAGCGTCTAGCCGCTGCTCCACTCTCTCTCTGGCTCCTCTTCACACGCCTGGCAGTCTTCCCCGTCGTTCATTCCTCTTAAGCCTGGACCGCTGCCCACCCCACTTGCCAGCGCCAGTTCTCATCCACCCTGCCCACATTGTCCTTTTTCCTTGCCTGCGCTTCCTGTTTGCTCCCCTCACCACTCGGCACTCCACGAGTCACGCTCCTTTCGCCCTCTTCTGGGCCTGTGCATAGACCCTCGTCCGTCCTGCCCGACTCCATCCAGTCTGCAAGCCAGCCATCACACTCTGCAAGGGCCCCCAGCATCAGAGTCTGCACCAGGTCAAAAGGGACTGCGTCCCCTTGTGCATCTCGCCTGCTCGTCGCTCGTCTTGTCTCGTCTCGTCTCGGCCAGCCCAAGTCGTCAAGTCGCTCCCGTCTCTCTCTATAGCACACTCTCTTTTCGCGATAGCATCATCCACCGTCTGTCGACGACCACTACACGGCGTCTCTGTTCAGCGTCACAACACCACAGAAAGCGTCTTTGACAGACTGCCCGCTCTCGTCCCACTTGCGAGACACTTCTTTCCTGCTCGCTGCGACACCGCTTCGTATATACGCTCTCTTCACGTATCTCACCACGCACACAACCGCCGCCATGTTCAGCAAGCCCAGCCTCGCTCTCCTGGCCTTGGCCACCCTCTCGGCCAACGGTGCCCTCGCTGCCCAGCATGGCAACCACGCCCAGCGCCATCAGCACCAGAACCTCCACAAGAAGGACCTCGTCTACGAGTTCACCACCACAACCACCGATGTCGTCTGGACCACCGTCTACGTTGACGCCAACGGCCAGCCCGTGGCTGAACCCACCGCTACCAACACTGCTGCGGCTGTCTTTGTTCCCGCGGACGCATCTGCTCCCGCTGCCGGCACAAGTGCAGCCATCAGCAGTGCCGCCGCCGTTGCTTCCTCCGAATCGACCCCGGCCGCTGTCCCTACCACCACCACTTCTACTGCTGCCCAGCCCACCACGCTGGCGACCAGCACCACTGCTGCTGCTGCTGCTGCTGCTTCATCGACTGCCGACGATTCGACCACCGCTAGTGCGGTGACCTCTGATGTTGTTGCCGCCGTGGCTGCCGGCGCTATCCACCACACAACCGCGGAGAGTGTTACCTCGGCCGTGACCAGCGCTGCTGCTGCTGCCACCACGAGCACCGCCACCTCAGCTGCCGCTGCTGCCACCACAACCTCTAGCTCCACGACCTCTTCGAGCGCCAACAAGCGTGGTGCCGCTTACAACGATGCCAGCCTTGTTTCTGCGCTGACCGGCACCGGCAGCAAGATCTCATGGGCTTACAACTGGGGTTCTGCCTCGTCGGGTCTGTCGAGCGATCTCGAGTTCGTTCCTATGCTGTGGTGCTCCACCGACACCTACACCAGCTACTGGGAGACCAACGTCAAGGCTGCCATTGCCGCTGGATCCAAGTACATTCTCGGTTTCAACGAGCCCGACAGCCCATCCCAGTGTGACATTGACGCCAGCACTGCTGCTGCGGCTCACCAAACGTACATGAACCCCTACTCGGGCCAGGTCAGCATTGGCGCTCCAGCCATCACCAACTCCAATGTTGCCGGCGAGAGCATCGACTGGCTTGACTCTTTCGTTTCGAGCTGTGCCGGCGCTTGTGACTTCGACTTTTGCCCTGTCCACTGGTACAACACCATCGAAGCTGGCGCTGCGGACCTGCTAGACTTTGTCACAAAGGCGCAGACTGCCTGCGGTGACGGCAAGAAAGTTTGGGTCACCGAGTTCGCTCCCAACGTTGACAACCCTACCGACGCCGAGATCACCTCCTTCCTGGAGACTGTTCAGGATGCCTTTGACAACAACGCCACCTACAGCTTTGTCGAGCGCTACTCATACTTCTGGGTCTCTGATGGTATTCTGGTCAACGGCGATGCTGCTTCGTCGTACGGCAACACCTTTGCCTACGCTTGATGTGGGACCCTTGCACCAACCTTTTTCTCTTCTTCATTTTAACATTTATCAAGAGTGGGGGGCTTGACGGCGTTCACCGGGCAATCTTGGACGCATTTTTTGTGATAACCGGAACAGACAGACTGGGAGGATGTCATTGGGTAGAAAGGCAAATGAGGGAAAAAGACGAGAATGGCTTGCTTCACATGAATATTCGCTGTAGATATTGGAGATCGCGGCGCCGTCTTCTCCTGTCCAAGCAAGAGACGGCGACCGGATCGTGGGTTTAGTTAGGATTGGTGCCTTTTGAGCATATGTGCTATTTTGATTTACGTTTCGTTTCTTGTTTCAGGTCAACATCGGCTTTCAGCCGGGGAGCTCTTTTTCTTTGTGTACTGGGATACAAAAGAGAAGAACCCGGGCGTCCGATGGGATATTGTTGTCTTCCAGAGATGTATCAAAAATATGAATACTTGATGAGCCATGTTCTACAATATTAAGACACAGCTTGTGATAGTGGAAGAATGCAATACTTGGCGTGTGTATGTTTCCAATTAACCTCGGTATTAGACAATAATGGAATACAATACGCCTGCATAGTTTTTGATGACGACGACTATTCATTCGGCGCGAACCTTGGAATTATGGGAGCCCGTGGTTGTTGTTTTTTTGGTGGCTCCATAATCTGGACATTACCGACAACGGATGAGGCGCAGCATTGAGTTTGGGCCATTTGGGTTCGGAGCACTGGGAAGAGGTGACAGGCGGTGAAAGTCGTTTGTATTATTTATTGATACATTTACGTGATGTAATGAAGCGTCAATTCCAAGATTGTGTTTGATGTTGGATGGCTGAAAGCGGCGTGGACGGCGGTGACTAACGGTACAGGATGGGTCTGTTTGACGACCTGCCTACTTGAGTACCAAGTACCGGGGTATGGGCAACAACCTGACTATCTATTCAGTGCCCAGATACCTTCTGTAAAAACATTCAAAAGGGTAACGTGGCAATGTCATCTGCAAACGAAATGATAGGAAAATACTCTGTCTTCATTTCACGAGAACAGAAGGGTGAAGAGAGCCAGAAATAAGAAGCAAAAAAAAAAGGGCAAAAGAACAAAATAAACTCCGATACGGGGAATCGAACCCCGAGCTTGACGGACCCCGATCTTTCTAAGAGGGAAATGAGAGCGTCAGATGTTAGCCATTACACCATATCGGACTGGTAATTGTTGGAGGATCTGGTTTGACTAGGGTATCTATATTGATCTCATTCAAGGAGGGGTGATAGTATCCTGGCTGCTTCTGTTTGAGGATTGGTGTTGGGCGAAGATGTGATTCGAGAGCCAGAGAAGTGGTCGTCGACACGATGGTATAATGAAATACTTGATCTTGGAGAGGGGAAAAAAAAGGGGGTGAAAAAAGGCATGATGCGTCTGTATCCGGAATTGTCTGTCTTTTCCCCATCGGTTGTTGAAAGACGTCATGGTTCATTCCTTTCGACCTGTTGAGGTGTCAGTCTGTTACAGCGCCGATCAATGGACATCATTCTCAGTAAAAGACAAAGGGAGATATGGAGATGAAGCTTCACAACGGAAATTTTGGATGAATTGACACGAGAAGTCAGTGTAGCAGTATCATCGTAAATAACTTGCGATATGGCAGGACAAAATAACTATGTTCGAAAGGTCAATGGTAAGCATTGATCGTGTCTCGGAATTCGCTTCACTGAGTCTATGAGGTCCAACCCACCAGTACCAAAATATACACATCAAAACAGAATTATCGCAGAATCATCAGTGAGATCAAAGTCTCTCCTATTGCATCAGCCTTGTGTATCACGTGTTCTTCCCCGCTGTCATGACAATATCCAGCCGTCCTGTCCAATACCAATGCTCTTCAACCTTCCCAATGCCTCCATCTGTGTCTTGTCGATTTAGTAGAGCCATATACCTATCCCGCGACGCTAATCGAAATGTCTTGAGATCCTCTAAAACATCTCTCATTGCCGCGATCCCAAACACATGATGCGTCTCCGGAGTTTGTCTTGAACTCTCCTTCGCCTGGCTCTGCTTGTTCTGTTTCCCGCCTTCCTCCACCGATAATGAACCATCATTGTCGGCTTTGCGAACAGCTTCCTCAACTTCCTCTTGCGTTGGCACCATCATGGCATCCCAGGCCTCATCGAAAATGTACGCTTTGGCGGGAACACCCGCAACGATGTGGCTGGGTGTGGCAAGCGTGATAGTATGGCAAATATTGCGATTATACTTGGGATCGGTTCCGAATGGCATCAGTAATGAGATATTGCGCATGTAAGAGTTGACGGCGGGTGGGTTCGCTGGGTGTAGCACGCCGCACCCGATCCAGACTGAGGTAGTTTCAGTGGCTGTGCTGTTGTTGTCCGTCGGAGTGTTGGTCCTGGAATACTGAACATAATCCGCCTCAGTATCGTCATAAGGACCACCAATGAGATATTCTATAAACGAACTGGGATCCAGATCCATTGAACGAGGACTCGACAGTGTCACCTTGCGGGTTGATGGTCGACCTTCGTTCAGGATCTTGACTTCGTCGTCTTTATAAACGTTTGTCCTTGGTCGTGAGGGTGTGGGCGATGCTGTCTGCGATACTGATCCGATCGTTGTATTCCATGCATTCTCACTGAAAGACGAGAATTCTTCCATAGCACTTGCAACATCCGTACCACGCCGTGACTCTGCCAGAAGCTCCTCTTCAGCGTCTAGTGTCTCCCCAAGTCCTTCAACTCCCGCCAAGTCGGTCTCAAATTCAAATACGATACGTCGGATACCTCGCAGAAGCGGCGGAGCACGGTGGTGACGACGTTGGAAACGACGGTATCGTTTCTCGTCCTGTCCCTTGGTCTCCTCCTTAACTTGGGCTTCCACCGCGGGAGTGGTATGACTCCTCGCCAGCGCAATATTGTGCTCTTGAGCTGCAGCCAGCTTCAGGAACTCAATGAGTCGCTGTGTCGTCACGCCTGTAGATGTCCGTGGGATATGGCACAATGAGAGAGAATGAATGCGCGGATTCATATCTGGGACGAAGCGCTGTGGCGTGGCGAGGTCGAAGCGGGCTCGGCAACACGTCTCAGCGAGGAGGGTGTTTAATAGATCCCGCTTCTGCGAAAAGGGGATGTTCGTATTGGACTTGATGCGATGGCTCAGGCGAATCGTTGGAACATTGGTCACGAGCGAGTGATGTGTGCGTAGAGCACGAAGATTGGAGGAGATTACCGGACGAAAAAGATATGCGGCACATGGGAGGCCGTAGCATGACTTGGGGACCAGTTGAGAAGGAACAGGAGTCAATCTAGTCAAGTAAGCCTCCACAGGATGGCTACATGGAAGAGACTCGCCATTTTCACACTCGAGATGTTCGACCCAGCCAGTGCTGCTGGACACCCAGCTCTTGATGGTGCCCAACGGCAGAGAAGTATCGTTAAGATAGACATGCGTCAAGCCACTAGGGCGAGGCACAGGAGACAGCATGTCAACTGCCACGGGAAGGGAGTCGTGGCTACTGCCAGCTACTTCCAAGATTGCATCATCCAGCGAGTCACTACGTAAGCGCTCCGCTCCGCTTAGACGGTTGTATCTGGAACAAGGCGGCACGCTTTGGTGGTTGTGGCCATCTTCATTTGGATCTTGTAGGTAAGCAGGAGCGTCTGTCAGGTATCGATGCGGATGGGAGAAGGCCGCGCTCCAAGGAGATTCGTCAATGAGATAATCAGCCCTTCCATAGCTATCGATAGCTCGCAATTTGCCTTCAACGTCGAAGTGTTGGCTAGTTTGGAGTCTTTTCTCCCGGCAGTGGTCAGGTGCAGCCCAGTGAGAATACAGGGCGAGAAAAGAAGAGTGACTGAGGAGGCCGTTATTGTTTGAAAGGTCCAAACTCCAAAGTTGATGTGCAAACTGCTGCAAGATATGCGCAGCAGTCAGAGAGTCGAGGCTCTTGCCTCTAAGTTTCAGGACACGAAGCTTTGGCAGATTGGTTGATGTGAAGGAGGGATCCATCAGGAGATTCCGAGCCCATCCGCCAGTGTAGGACAGGTCAAGATAAACAAGGCCAGCCAAACATCCAGTGCCGAAAAACTTGGCTGGAATAGCCTGCATACAGTTTGCCATACTGAGAACATTCAGATTTGCAAAGGTTTGAGCCTGTGTCTTCCTGACAAGTAATTGGTGCAAAATTGTGAAGTCTAAGTTTGTGTATCCGTCGAGGACGAGACAGCGTAGATTCGAAAGTCTGGAGACGAGCTTGTAGAGCTCTTGAGTCATATCTGGCCAGACACTGTAGGAATAAGGCGAAGCAAGACTACGAAAGACACGAAGGTCTATCGTCATGATCATGGCTAATGTCGAGTCTCTTGTCGCCCACTGATCTGAACGACACACCATAGAGATAAAGTTGAGAAACCATCTTCGTTCTGTATACTCGATTGTCAATGCTTGTTACGCTAAGAATGTTTTGCGCAGAAGTCCCCTCTATCAGAGGCAAACAATACCCATGACTACAGGGAGGGAACAAGTGCTCACCTCGGCCGGGATGAATACCCAAAGCTATGATCATACGCAAAGGATCTTTCCAGAGCCGCGGCGCGAAACGAGCATTAAACTCCGTGGAGACCAGGCAGAGGCGGTACAAGTCACCCACGTTGATGCTGTGAGCAACGATTGTCCACCCATCTGAATTAACAGCCTCTCGATATGATGGAAGCTGTTCCATCCTGTCACTTCACTGAAAGCGCGCTTGTAGAAAACCCTGGATGAATCTAATGCGCGGTCTCGTTGCCAAAGTCTAATGACCGTTTCCAAAGCGAGGAGATATGAGCTGGCTGCAATCAAGTCGACACTTGAACATGTTTGACGCATCTGCGGGCGTGAATAGTCGATCATCGGTGACGAAAAGCAGTCATCAAAGACAACAAAGTGCCAACTTTTGGGCTGGCTGGAGACGCGAACGAGAACGCTGCTATAGAATTTGCAGCTCAGCATCCAGTCTTTGAGACGCGATGGCTGAGCTTCATGTCTCATCACACAAAAGTGTCGAGCAACGAGCCCGACAGACTTGGCTAAGCGCCATTCTTCCTGGTCAAGGAGAGAATTGGTGATCTTGTGACTTGGTGGTGCCGTAGGCCGATCGGCCAAAGTACCTAGGTACTTAAGTAGGCACCCCTCTTCCGCTCTCCCGATCCCAGTGAGGCTGCGCAAAGAAGGCGCTACCGATGGGTGAATGTTTACTTTGGCCTTTGGAAAATAGTATCACGATGTTGCCCATTTTCGATACGAATAGTATCGAATGAGGAATGGATATGATTACTATAGTAGGTAGATGTCTGCGTAAGCAAGATGCTCGTAACATTGCTGTTGCTGGCTCTCCAGGTTGCTTTGAGCTTTCTTGGCCTCCAACATTGGTCTTCTATGGCCGCTATTTATCCACGGCTGTCTATCAAGTTGGCTTTTACAAAACCGTGCCGCAGAAATTATATACAGTATTTTGGAACATTTTCGAACAACTCCCAATCAATTCGAACGGTCTGTCTGTAACAGACGTCAAGACACATATCCGTTATGATCGAGTTTCGCTGATGGCAGCCTCGAGAATGTCTAAGCCTTGAGTGATCTCAGCTTCCGTAATGGTCAATGGAGGCACGAAGCGCAGAGTGTTTGTGCCAGCCGTAATGACGAGCAGGCCCATGTCGCGCGCAGCGTTGACGATGGGCGACGGGTCCTGAGTCAGCTGTAGGCCCAACATCAGGCCTCGACCGCGAATCTCCTTGATGAGGTCTGGGTACTTGGCCTGCAAGTCCGTGAAGCGGCGAGTGAAGATGGCATTCTTGGCAAGAACTTCCTGCTGCAAGGCAGGGTCTGCAAGACGGGTGACAATGTTGTGGGCCAGGCGGCAAGCGAGCGGGTTACCACCAAAAGTGGTTCCGTGGTCCCCAACCTGGATCATGTCGCGGACATGTGCGTTCACCAGCACGGCGCCAATAGGGAAACCATTTCCGAGAGCCTTAGCAGTCGTCAAGATGTCCGGGTGAGCCTCGACGGGCAGGTGCCCGTGGGCCCACAAGGAGCCTGTCCGCGACAGACCGCACTGGATCTCATCATAGATGAGCACAGAGCCCACCTCACGGCACCGCTTGGCCAGTGCAATGAGGAAGTCTTGATCGACCTCCTGAACACCACCTTCACCCTG